TTTTTTTTTTTTTGAGACAGAGTCTCATGTTGTCACCCAGGCTGGAGTGTAGTAGTGCGATCTCAGCTCACTGCAAGCTCCGCCCTCACGCCATTCTCCTGCCACAGCCTCCTGAGTAGCTGGGACTACAGGTGCCCACCACCACGCCCGGCTAATTTTTTGTATTTTTAATAGAGACGGGGTTTCACCATGTTGGCCAAACTGATCTCGAACTCCTGACTTTGTGATCCGCCTGCCTCGGCCTCCTAAAGTGCTGAGATTAGAGGTGTGAGCCACCACACCCGGTGGTGGGTTTTTGTGTGTGTGTGTGCTATTTGTGTGCTTTTTGTGCTATTTTTCCGATACAAATCATTGATTCATTATGGCTCAGTTTACCAAAGTTGCATGGGTTTTGAGTGATATACATATTCCATTCTTATTTTTTCCATTAGTCCTGTTTATTTTTAGTGTTCAATTTTGTAGAACTTGAGGTTTTTCACCAATACTATCACCATGTTACATAAGATGCACCTCAGTTACATAGATTTTGTTTACAGCATTTCAGATTGTTTTACCTCTAGCCAAAAATTGAACAGTTGAATGGAACAATTACACTTAGTATTTCAACTTTCTCATTTGATAATGCAAACTTAAGATGAGTTTAATGTTTGTCAAGTTTCATAAAGAGATGCTTTTATCTTATAGGGAAGACATCATTGCATTTTTTTCTATTTACATTAAGTCTGGTAATTATTTAAATGCTGCACCAAAAATGATCTGGGTAACAATTTTTGTTTAAAATTTTTAACAATATAATTAAGTCCAAAAGTTAACCCAAACAAATAGAAATAACTACCATATTTACATAATGTGATTAAAGTTTGTAGAATTTCTCATGATGCCAGATAGCCTTCAGTTGTTGAGAAACAAAAACACAGAATGGCCGGGATTGTCTGTCTAACATTTTTGCCATATTTAAGACTTCAACTTTGTTACTCAGTTTGTGGGAGTGGGGGAGCAGGAGAAGTGGTAGGAGGTACTTTTGTTGAAAAACCATATTGAACTTTAACGTGCTAATTTCCACAGATAAAAGTGGAACCAGTCGCTCTGGCCCCGAGTCCGGTTATCCCCCGATTAACTCTCCGAGTTGGTGCTGGCCAAGACAAGATGTAAGTATAAACGTTTTGAGTCAGAGTGAAACAAATGAAACGTAACCTTCTCTACCCTTTCCTAATGGACTTAGAACTCCACAGGCTTCTTCCAGGTATGAACATGTGGGGTCAAGCTTTATTTTTAGAACTCTTCGTTTTCACATTTTTATTGGTTTCTTCCACAGAGTAAATGCTTTTCACTTTATTTGACCTAGAGGATTGTTTTTTTCTTGTTCTTTTTCTCTTTGTTAAAAACTAGCAGCTGACATCATTTCTACGTAGTGTTTAAGGTACCAGGTATCTGAAAGGTAAGAAACTCTGTACCGAATGGACTTCCTGCCACATTACGCCCAGGTAGATGCAATGCTGCACTTTCTCAAGTACATAGTAGCTATCACCATGACAAAGAACAAAGATTCTCTTTTTGCTCAGATGACACATGGTTTTATTCTGTACCTGTAAAACAAAGATACACCAAAGGCTTGGAGAGACAGAATGTAATAGTCACAACTGATGACTTAGTCCACTCTTTTTTTTTAAAGAAAGCACTAGAAATGTAAACCCCACATTTGCTGTTTATTTGTCTTAATTTTCATGGAATCATCATATCAACCCACTCGTCTTTACAGTTAATCTGTTGGATAGTTTTCTTTTATTCATTTTTTGGGGAGGCATTAAGGCCTACAGTGCTCTTACCTGATCCTAATAAGGTAATGAAACATTGATTTTTTTTTTTGGTAACTCACGTTGAAAATCATTCCCCTTGTTTTAAAAGCGTATTATGCATTATTTAAATAAAATACACAAGATAAAAATTCTACAACCTTATTTTTCCCGTTAAGCCTGAAAATGCAGTTTACATTGCAATCAAATACTGTGTGGAAAATAGGCTTAGAAGGCCTTCCATTTACATTCAGTTTTTAGCCATAAAAGTGAGAGTAGGAGCCATGAATTTATTTAGTAGAGGACAGAAAATTTGCTTTGTATTCTCACTGGTTTATTTCATCTTAAAAGTTACATGTATTGATACTGTTGCTTCTATCAACTCCATGTATAGTGCAAAGAAAAAGTCCAGCATGATTCTGATGAATGTGAGCAGAGAGGCAACTTGGTTTTCCAGGGGAGTGTATACCCCTCTGAAGATTTAAAGGAGAAAATCCAATGGCTTCTGTTTTTCTCACCTAAATTCTCTGGATAATTTCCACATTACTCTTTTTGGTTGTGCTGGTAGAGACCTAGGAAATGCAGCAAAAATCCTGTGGATTCAGTGCTTTTCAAACCAGCTCTCTGGTATACCAGGGCACCTATGTTACCTACAGAACCGTGAATGTCCTCATCTCTTAACCAGTAGGGCTCAGAGAAGACCCAACCAAAGTAACTCTTCCATCTCCATACAAATTCTGCATATGGGCTCATCTCTCTAAGAGGAAGATGCTGTTATCCGTCATTCAACAAGTACTTTTCTCCTGCAGTTTATATTTATTCCCATTTCTCAGTAACTCACCATTACTTAATCTTGACTCCCACACAGAAATTTGGCTTGCTCATACCCTTTAGAGGAATAAGGTTTGTTAAAAGGCATTGAAAAGCCAGGTGTGGTGGGCCGTGCCTATAGTCCCAGTTACTTGGGAGGCTGAGGCAGGAAGATCACTTGAGGCCAGGAGTTAAAGGCTACAGTGAGCTATGACTATGCCCACTGCACTCCAGCCTGGGCAACAGAGCCAGACCCTGTCTCTAAAAATAAAAAGCAGCCAAGCGCGGTGGCTCACGCCTGTAATCCCAGCACTTTGGGAGGCCAAGGCGGGTGGATCACAAGGTCAGGAGATCGAGACCATCCTGGCTAACACAGTGAAAC